CAACTATGTCGCTCGTTTATCGGAAAGCCCTTGTGGCGTTGTATTCACTCAGCAGCGAACATGATTGGCTGAAATTCCACGCTATCTCGTATAACAGAAACCTTAACAAGTGAGCGTATAGCAAACAACTAGTGAGGTGGAGTCAGTGCGTTGATTGCCACTGTCGCAATAGTGTTGAATTGAGGAGAGGACCGCGGCTCGCTATGCTTTGCTCTCGCGTGGAGAGGCCCCATGGGGACGATATTTTGCATGTGCTGATTGTGTGGCACATGAAGACCCACGATGAGGCTTCCATCCCATCCGAATCCCGAAACTAACAAAAGCATTGACAAGCACCAGATACATTTGCCTGCCCACGATTGAGTTGCTTCTCCGCCAGATGCGAGGCGCCTCGGCTTCAAACGACAGTCGACACTTACGTATAAAGTCGGATGGCTCGCTGTTTCAAGCCCTCTTTGTCATTCCAAGCACTTAGCCTAGAAACATCTCTTCTCCTCTTCCTTGTTGAGATTCCTGTCATGTTCATCAGACACCCAACGCTGATACTGGCCCTCGCCCGCTACAGTTCAGCGATCTGTTCGCAATCTCCATCAGCAACCATTCAAAATGGCGTGGTTTTTGGCATAACGACTTCTCTTCCTGAGGCCACAGTGACAGTCAACAAGTTCTTGGGTATCCCGTATGCCGATTCTCCACCACAGCGGTTCTCAGCGCCTGCTGCCGCCCCAGATTGGAATGCACCCAGAAACGCAACAGTATTTGGACCAGCTTGCTTGCAGCAATCGGGTGAGATGGGTCTTGTCAACATGTATGCCGTTCAATTCACTGACTACTCAGCACAGGCGTCCTGGCCGCTCTCTCGTACAAAGAGCCAGTGCAAAGCGAAGACTGCCTCTACGTCAACGTCTATCAGCCCAGTGGGCAACCTCCAGACTACGGTTGGCCAGTCATGGTCTGGATACACGGTGGTGGTCTTCAATTCGGCAGCAGCGATGCGCCAGAATATGATGGTGCCGCGTTTGCTGCCCATGAGAATGTCTTATTTGTGTCCTTCAATTACAGGCTCTCTCGTATGAACTCTGCCACTCCACGGTTCCGAAGTAGTGCTGACCATTTCCAAGTTTTCGGCTTTCCTGGTGCGCCCGGGTTGCCCAATCTCGGTTTCCTGGATCAGAGACTCGCTTTGAGCTGGGTTCAAGACAACATCGCGGCTTTCGATGGCGATGACAAAAAAGTCACCATTTTTGGTGAATCTTCGGGGGGCATCTCTGTTGATGCACTGCTCACAGTACCTCCTTCGCCAATTCCCTTCCGTGCAGCGATCGTTCAAAGTGGCACTGTACTCAGCAACGCGCTCGCCTCGCTCGGTCAGAACCCAGAAACTGCTTGGAACCAGACAGCAGCATTCTTCAATTGCTCATTGGCTGGCGATCAAGTCGCTTGTCTACGGGACGTGCCTGCCCTCCAGCTCCAGGCGTTTGCTAGCAACAACTCGTTGCCTACAATTGTGAAGAACGACAATTTGACGTATCTGTCAAGTGCTGGCCAACAATATGCCGATGGACAGGCAGCAAACGTGCCGGTGATGGTTGGTACAACGGCGGACGAGGGCACAATTTTCACACTCGGACAGTCCAATCTTACAGCTTTCATCAACAACACCTTTGCGCTCTTGCCTCAGCTCATCCCTCAGATCGCGGCGGCGTATGCGGTCGGTACACCAGGCATCAACTCCGAGAGGCAGGCTATCGCCCGGATCTTCACTGAAGTCGGAGTGCAATGCCCATCAGCACTGCTTGCTCGTCAAATAACTGAGGCAATGAACCCTGCGTGGCGGTACATTTTCAACGCCACATTTTCAACGCCACATTTTCAAACACCTCTCCTGCTCCCAGCTTGGACCTCGGCGTCTTCCATTCGTCGGAGCTCCCTTTGGTGTTCAGTAGTTTCAACAAGACCACAGCTACTGGTCAGCAGTATGCGTTGAGCAACTACATGCGAGGAGCATGGGCACAATTTGCAAAGGATCCCGAAAATGGCCCTGGCTGGGGTCCCGTGGGATCGTACAATGGCACCGACTTGGGTTTGCTGGGGTCGGATGGATCGAGCGGAGTTACAGTTGTGAACCCGACCAATGTCGACGCCAGATGCGCAATATTCGAGCCGATATATCAATTCCTGGGCTAGATAGAGCAGTAATCAAGTGATCGAGGTCTCCATCGCGCGGGGCAAGCGATGTGGTTCAGTATCCAGGTCGATGTCTTCGTGTACGAAATCACTCTGAGAGCCCTGCCGCATGCGGAAAACCCGTAAGCTGTCTCTTCGCGTGCCTCCATCATGATCATTGATTACATTGTAATAGTAGTGATAGCGAACCCGGCAGTGCTCAGGTATGTAGCCAGTGACTGCGAATGAAGGGTCGTCTTGCAAGGCTTTTCGCTCTTCGTATGCGATCACGGCCTTGCAGATCAGTACTGCGAGTTCCGAGCTCCAAGGTCCGTCCTGTCCTTCGCATCTTGCCATGACACTCAAAGCTCGATGGCGTAGGTCTTGCTGACGACAAAGTCGCGAGACAAACGACAGAGTTGATAACAGTCCGTGTCCAAGAAACACCAAGGGCTCCGACCTTCCCTCAGACCCATCGGCCGTCCTCTGCAGCTCCTGCGCGAGGTATGTTTCGGCGAGATCGATGATTTGACGAAACGTCTCCATCTCCACATCAAAGTGACATTGATATCCACTCCATCGGCACCGAATGTACACTCCGATCGTCATGCAACGTGCCTTAGCGAGCTTGAACTGCTGAGCCCGCTGAACCGTTTTTGATGCCAGCCGTCGATCTATGGCGGCTTCAAGCGCCACATGTCTCGCACGGAAGGCAGAGATCTTCTCTAAAAGAGCCTCATCAACCGTCAGAGGCTCCGCGAAGGTGAGATCGCCGCCGGTATCAAGGTCGATGTGAGGCCTTCTTGGTGTCAATGTAGTTCCAATAAGATCAAGTACCAGATCTTCAAGCTCGCCCTGCACGACTTGATCGTCTGCTGATACAGCCAGGGGACCTGAGATGCTCTTTAGGCTCTCTGGATTTGCGAGTGCTTGGTTCGGCGCAGAGTTTTGAGCGCTATGCAGTGCTTGCTGTGGCAAGAGCGGATTAAACAGTGCCATCGCGATGCAGTACTGCTTGAGAAGCCGCAATGACTCTCGCAGTGGTACCTCCGTAGCCATATCGTAGCGCATCGTCGCCTCCCACGCAATGCGCAACCCATGCTCTAGATGGATTCCCACTTCAGTGAATGACTTTCGAAAGCAGTGCAGGATGACAAGCAGTAGGCTGTGGAAGACAACAGTAAACATGGTGCTCGATGTGCTGTAGGCCTCTGCGTCTTCGATAGTCTGGCGCAACGACTGAACAGCCCGGGCATTGAAGATGGATGATTGCGTCGACGAAGATGAAGAGGGTACACGCGCGGCTTGGTGCTCGTAGCCGATGGCGATGGCCATGAAACACATGCTTGGACTGTGGTAGAGCTCTTGCTTCATGTATTCCCAGAGAGGACTGGGCTCGCATTGTTGGAACGCTGGAAGTGTGGAATGGCAAAAGTAGCTCATAGCAGACTGCGCATCTGTATCGAGAGCTACAGGAATTCCATTAAGAGGTGCAGAGACCGTAGCCCGTGGAATCGTGCGGATTGGTTTAAGCTGTCTTGGGTCGGAGAGGCATTCTCTTGCGGCAGACTGGCAGCGGAGACACACAGGCTTGACTTCGTCGCATTTAACACGTCGTTGCCTGGCATTGCCATTAGTGTATCATAATGGGTGCATAGTAGTCGACTGCTTTACTTGCACGTATAGCAGCCCGTGCGAGATTTGCTGTGGTTGGCACGTTGTCGGACGCTTTTGGCAGTGCTGCTACTATCAGCACGATTGGACATTTCGCATCGTCCACACTTCTCGTTCCTGCGAGCATGAACTTGTGACTTGTGATCTTGAGCAACTATCCTTGGACGTTGGTGGTTCAACAGAGTGACTTCGCGTAATTACACTTCCTCGGCGTGTCGCCCTAGCGCCACAAAGCGGAGGACGAGCTATCCGAGCACGTCTCCGGCCCTCAAAGTTATTTGCATCAAGAATCTTTGGTCGGGCATCAATGCAGCAAAATTTGGTACGCCAGCACAACCACAATGCGTTGCGTGTCACATTGACTTTATCGACTTGGATTCATTCGTCTGCTGGAAGCGGGCGCCAACGGGTGTTCGAATTTCGTCCTCAAGATTTGAGTTCTTGGTTTTGTAGCTTCATGCTGAGCTAAGCACAATGGCCAATATCGCGCGCTTGTGCACATCTGCAAGGTGTTTGGTGGAGCTTCCTAACCACGCTGGATAGAGAGGATCCGTCGACCTGGATCGATTGAAGTCATTCGTAGCATTCAATTCGTGCGTATCACCTTGACTGAACTCAAACGTCTCTCAGCCTCTCGCAAGCATCTTCAATTCCTGAAGGCACGCCTTGGTGCTGTAAGGGCCTGACTGGCTCCCGTTTGGACTTGTGTTGTGCGGCAAATCGTTCACCCTGAAGATGGACACTGCTCCGACAGACTCCATCGCGCGAAAGATTCTCAACTCATTGCACCACGTACTCGTTTAGCAAGCAAAAAGAAGCAATGTGGTGTGATGGCGGCTCGGAGAGGGACCGCTTTGCGCATTGCCGGCTTAATCTATGCTGAGCTCGTTGCATTGCTGTTTTGAGTTCCAGGCCGCGCTGGCGATGGATGACCCCATCCTGCCTTTCCAATATTCAGGTTTGGAGGCCGTACCTTCAACACCTGTACGTGTGCAGGCGCCACATGTCGTTCGCACTGCGCCCTAGTGTTTCACCTCGAATCTTCACTCGAACTGTTGACGAGGCTCTTCGGTTAGCTCATGCCGAGGCAGATATTGTTGACCATGGGCTCCAGAAAATGTTAGTTGTGGGTACTTTCCCGTTGTTTCTCGCGTCCACAATTGCACATTGCAGATCGCGGCGCTCTTTCTCATGCTCGAGCATCGTCTGTTTGCCGATAGTGTAAACAGCTGGGCCTTGTGTTCCAAGGACGACGCAGCCGATAGACTGCAATCGGAGGTTGTCGTTGAGCAAAGGGCTATAGTAAGGAAGTTGGAATGGCAAGGTCAACCCGTCTTTAACGCGGGCCGAGCAACGTGGCTGCCAATCGGCTGTTCGTGACCGTGTTTCCATCACTGCACCCTGTAGGCTCTGCATCTTTTATCACCTTTTCTTCACTCGCGACTGCACGCGACGAATACATGCGACCGCACGCGCTGTTCCTTGCAGCCATGGCCCCCTCTTCACGGCATTTTACCCGATTATGGCCTCGAAGGCTTGGCTAAAGGTGGGGTGGTGGCGTCTAAGTGTCCGGCATTGGACGAGAGCAGGTACAGCATATACATCTGCTGCTGTCGCGTGGTATGGTGAGAGTACGCCACACGCTTTCAGCTTGACAAAATGCCCATCACAGAGATTGCGAGCTTTCCGGTGAAAGATGGAGTCAACACGGAAGCCTTGTTCGACAAAGCTTCTGGATCAGAGTTGTCTGTCCTCATGCAGGACTGGTCGAGAGAATTGCACAAACACAAAGGCTTGCATGGCGCGAAGCTGGGAATGAAAGTTGAGGATGCGAGTAGTCTGGTCGTTGTCATGGGTATGGTTCCTAGCCTTGTTCAGTGCATCTGACTAGAATGTAACTGACCCAGACGGAAAAAGACTGGGACGATATTCAGAGCCACTTCGCATGCCTTTCACATCCTCTGTTCCCACCGAAATTGGAAAAGCATACGGCTGTTTTGAGCGAGGAGTTAGGCGAACCAAAATCGGGATTGGGATGGTTGTCGCGGTCAAATAATATAAGAGAACCAGAAAAAGGATTGAAATGCTGCAATTGCTCGATTGCTGGCTTCAACTGATCGGTTCGCGCTGTGGATATCGCAGCTGCAATAGCGACTCCAATACAGTCGATAGTGAGCCGCGGAGGGAGACCTTGCGTTTCCTCTAGGTCTCCGAAGGCTGGCTGTGTCTGTTGTTCAATCGCGAATGACAGTTCACCCTTCAAACTGTGATGGTGGGTCTCTTACGATTTTCTGTTCGACCGAATCACCGGGTTGGGAATAAGGACGCCAAGACGGCATCATAGTGGACTGAGTTCGCACTCTACCAGTTGTAGTGATTGTGCATCTTGAGCATACCTTTGAGATCTGTCTCTCGCGATCAAATACCTGCACGTCTGCCCATCATCGACAGACGCGAGATTTCAGCATACACAGCTTCTCGCAATCGCGGACGAATACTAAAGCCAGGACCATGGCCAAAGAAGACAGGGGAGATCCGTCGCTGCCACGAAGATCGAATAGTGCACACAGCATGCCAATTCATAACCTTCGCAACGATGCGGCCTCGCTTCTGCGAGATATGGAACGACCGGGCAACCTCGATAAATGCTCGCACTGTCAGCAGATCCTGGACGAAACAGGCAGCTTGCGGGAGTTCCTCTTTCATTTCTTGAGCATGTTCAGCGTGGTGACAATCTTCGCTGGCTGGGCAATTCTGTTGGCTCTGTCTAGCGCCTATCCTGAATTCGCGTGCGAAAAGTTGGGATTTATGGAGCGCGCGTCGCAAAATATTCGACTTGGATGGATTGGAGCGGTGGGCATCAATATTTGGTTCACATTGAACTTGTACATCAACACTAGCTTGAGGCTGCGGCCATGGCTGAACTCCGATCGGCGCGCATCAGCGCAGGTTCTGATTCTGGTAATCCCGGTCGCCGGGCTGATCCTGGAACAGTACGTTGATGTGCCTCGAACCGTCCTCGACTGCTCAGGCGTGTGGTGATGGGAGATGGCAAGCAGAAGCGAGGTGAAGAAGAGTCGAAGTCTCGAAGAAGACGAGAAGAAGCCACCAGCCACGTGGTCGGCAGGACGATCGAAGCGACAAGGTTGATTTAGGCAGACGGAACGAGCCTCGTTGATTAGCGTTGTGCTAGTGCGAGCAGATCCTTGTTGGCGATTGGGACAGGTGCAGGCGAGCGTGGAGACGAGCGAGACATGTCGCGGACCGCAGATGGGGAAGGCGGAGAGAGCTGCACAGCATGCAGGACAGAGCGAGAAGATGGACTTCGGCTGATCGCAATCGTCGGGGAGACGGTGGGCTGATGCGAAGAGTGCGGCCGGGTTTGGCGCAGGTGCAGCGGTGCATCGCCAGACATTCCAGAAGCGAACAGCACAGGGTCCTGCACCCATTTCCAGCTGAAGCACTCACGTCCGGGTGCGACCAGTGCTCCTGTTCACTTCCCTCTCACTGTCTCACTGTCTCCATCGCCGTCACCTCCACCTGCCTCCCGCCGTTGCCCAGCCGTCGAGCTGCATATGCAACCTCGCGTGCTCCGAGCTGCCATCCGTTCTGCACAAGTCGAGCTCTGTCCTCCACCTAACGACCCGCTCCGCCCTGCGACTACACGATTCGACATGCGACTCCCGTGACGCCCGCTCTCATCAATCGATCTAGGCAGAACACGACGGCACGCACGCTGAACACGCAGCCCGCTCCGACGACGACGGCGCCAGAAGGACTGCACTTCATGTCACGACGACAGCCGCAACGAGGCCAACACCACCGGCGAGGCTCGCTGCAGCAGCGCGTGGGCTAGGCCGCGGTGAAATATGCGCATATCCATACGGCTGCAGTTGGGCGGCTTAATCCTGATCTCTTCCCTCGTCGGCCTGGCCGTCATCTCTGTCGCAGTATGGATCACAATTCACGACTTCGTGCTCGACCTCAGAGCCTCCCGCCTGGCACTGACGGCTGCGCTCAAGGCTGGCCAGCTGTCTAGCAACCTGGATGTCATGCAGACCGCAGCCAGCTTTGTGGCATCTCGCGTGCTGTTGCAGACCGCATTGCTTAGGTACTATGCTGATGGCAACAACACGTCCGAGAACTGGACTCGTGCCAGAGCAGACATGCGAGCTGCCGTAGGAGGCGGAGCTTCGTTAGGGCAACGCTTACTGCTGCAATCTCGATTGTACCCACGAGATGCCAATGGTGTCAACGGGCCGTATGCTCTGATGAACACCACCGCCACATCGGATATGCAAAGGATAGCTCTGCCCTATTCCTACACTAATGGATCGACAGTCTATCTGGGCGCCAACGACACAGAATCATCCTATCCACCCCACCTATACCCAAACTTGACCTATCTCGACAATGGTGCAGCACGGTACAACGACTTCGTGTTTACTCCCGAGCGTGCCTTATTACTGGGGCCATGGACCGTCAACGCTACTTTTTCTCTCCTCTCAATCACGATGCCTGTAACCAATAACAGCAATTCCAATGATTTGCTGGGATATGTGACACTGGTCATGGATGCGAGACTAGTGTCTCAAGTCATGGACTCTGCAGAAGGACTGGGCAAGACTGGAGAGACGCTACTGATCGGGCCAGCTGATTCGACAAACTTATTTCCCGCCGATGTCCATCTCGAGTCTGGTATTCCACCCGGACTGAACGTGCAATATGTGATGCCTCTGAATCAATCGTATAGCAGCCGACATCCCGGCCAGACGAGCAGTGGCACCAATCCTGCGTTCAGCGCTGGCGACTATCCAGCTCTGTCTCGAGCTCTCGCGCTCACCAACGGTACTGGAGCTTCAGGCGCCGAGCTGAGGGCGAGGAACGAGGCTGGCAAGAAAGTCAGCGTTGGCTTCGCCATGCCTGCCAACAATCTGGTGAACTGGACCATACTGCTTGAAATGTCACGAGACGAAGTGTGGCAACCCATCGACACCTTGCGAAAGGTCATACTCGCCTGTCTCTTCGCGACTGCTGGCTTAATGGCAATCATCGCCGCTCCACTCGCGCACTTCGCTGCGCAACCCATTTTACGTCTGCGAGAGGCAACACTGAGATCTGTCGATCCCCCTAGCACGGATGGACAATCAGATATGGACTCTCTTGGGTACCTGAGAGACGCAGCTGCTGATGGACATCAAGACACAACAGATCTGGACGAAGCGATCGCCAGGAAAGAGGGATTTCGAGACAGAGGTCTAAAGTCGCCTTTTGCTAGATGGACGCGCAGGTTCACCGAGGACTCCCAGTCTAAGCGTCTTGAGCGGAGGAAACGGAATTTCCGCATCCCTGGCCGTGTGAAGCAGCGCAAAGGCTGCATCAAGGACGAGCTGACCGACTTGACACACACCTTCAATGAGATGTCAGACGAGCTTATGATGCAGTATTCCAAATTGGAAGAGCGTGTGAGGCAGCGGACGGCCGAACTGGAGCTTAGCAAAAAGGCAGCCGAGGCTGCAAACGAGAGCAAGACGCTCTTCATCGCAAACATTAGCCATGAGCTCAAGACGCCGCTCAATGGCATTCTTGGCATGTGTGCTGTGTGCATGCAGGAAGATGATCCTCTTCGTCTGAAGCGATCGCTCGGCATCATCTATAAATCAGGTGATTTGCTGCTAAATCTCCTTACAGACCTTCTCACATTCAGCAAAAACCAGGTTGGCCAGCACTTGACGCTCGACGAAAAGGAGTTCCGCTTGCGCGATGTCAGTCTGCAGATTTTGGCCATTTTCGAGAAACAAGCCAAGGAAGGCCACATCGATCTCAAGGTGCAATTCGAAGGCATCCACGACATGGACAACGACAGTGCAGCTCCCGATCAGCTCTCCGGGTGTGGGCCAGGTGCCAGCGGACGCATGAGAGATATGATCTTGTGGGGCGACATTCATCGCATCCTCCAGGTTGTCATCAATCTCGTATCGAACAGTCTCAAGTTCACGCCCCCTGGAGGGACTGTAACACTCACGATTCGTGCCCTGCCAGAGCTGCCCGATATTGGTAGCCGTAAGACTTCTGTCAATTCCAGACAGTCTCTGCAGATTCCTCGGAAGAGGGATTCTGATCTGTCTATTTCAAAAGGTGGCACTCAAAGAAATTCGGACGCGTCAATGCAACGATTTGGCACCGCCAATGCCATTAATGTCCTGGACAAACCACATGCAATCGTGCACGTGGCGGAGCGAGCGCGGTCGCCTGCCTCTAAGAAGTACATCTCTTTCGAATTCGAAGTAACGGATACAGGTCCGGGCATCCCGCAGGACCTGCAGGATAAAATCTTCGAGCCTTTCGTGCAGGGTGATTTGGGTCTCAGCAAGAAATACGGCGGCACTGGCTTGGGCCTTTCAATCTGCTCGCAGCTGGCCAGTCTGATGAGAGGATCCATGAGTGTGCACAGCGAAATCGGTTCTGGCAGCACCTTCACGATGAAGATCCCATTGCGCCATGTCCAGACCCGCGCGGACAGTGCTGCCAGTTCTGCTCTGGGTCACGGCGAGGAAGTATGTGGGGCGAGTTCTTTCGATGCGGGCTCTCGCTCCGCTTCGCCGCAGCGTTCTCATGGCAGTGTGGAGTACGATCCCGAGGTCTCAAGTGTGAACGAGAGCACAAAACCTATGGCACATCCTCCTGGAGATATAAGCGCTCAGTCTCAACCCCGCCTTGTCGGTTTGAGTCAACCCTTTTTCGCATCGAACAAGACACTTGACGATACAGACGCACAAGGTGAAGCTATGCGACGAATGTCTGCTTCAGCGAGCAGGACCGGTAGGATTCGGGTGCTTGTGGCAGAAGACAACAAAGTCAATCAAGGTTTGTTGAGTCCGCTCGAGATGCGACGACATGTCTAAAGTCATTTGCTAACATAACATCACTAGAGGTCGTTCTGCGCATGCTCAAACTTGAAGACATTTATGATGTTGTAGTCGCCAAAGACGGTCAAGAAGCGCTGGACTTAGTCAAAGAGTCTATGTGCCCTGGGAGCCAAGCATTCAACCTCATCTTTATGGACGTACAGATGCCAAATGTGGATGGACTCACCAGCACGCGACTGATTCGCCAGATTGGGTACCAGGAACCAATTGTGGCCTTGACAGCATATGCGGAAGAGAACAACATCAAGGATTGCATGGACTCTGGCATGAATTATTTCCTGTAAGGTCCCAGACACTAGGGTGCCATAAGACGAAGTACTGACACTCAAACAGCTCAAAGCCAATTCGAAGACCACAGCTCAAGAAGGTGCTAAAGGAATATATCACGCCGATACCAGAGGAGCCCGAGGAGCAGATGACGCCGCCAGAGGAACGGCGGGGATCTCACAACACTACCATTGTGATGGTAAGCGGGCGAAACTCACAGGAGCTTGCGAGCCACGATGGCACTACAGCGAGCGCTAGTGCCACATTTGACACTACCGGGCGATCCTTCCATGCGTCAGCTCTCTCGCAGGACGCCCAGGACGACCGATCTGCCTCGCCGAGAACAGTCGTGTAGCCAGTCACAACCGACAGCAACCTGGGAACAGGGACTCGACGAGGTCTTGTAGCTGCTGGATCTCGCGATGCGAACCAACTACGACAACAGAACAGACGAGCGAGTGAAGGGAACCTGGTACCTTCCGCGAATAGAAAAGAGAAGAGCAATATGACAACGCGTTTCCGTGATGAGATCAATTTTTGTGCGAGCGTGGAGTTATGGGTGTCAAAACAGCGGGACGAAAAGAGGGATTTGCATTTGGCGAAGCCCACGAGACAGTGTGTCGATGATGGGGCATTTTCTCAGGCGTTTGTCATGACATGGCGTTGTTCATTTGCGCGTGGTTTCAAAAAAGGCGGAGTACATGTTTTGTCCTTGAGTTGGACTCTGTTCGTTTGATGACGGGCTATGTGTGTCGTACATAAAAATGCGCTGCCTATATATGTGCTCGCGGTCGAAGGCAGAACCGCATGAAGCGAAATGCATTGATGTGAAAGGAATATTTTGGTACAAAAAAGTGAACGCCAGATCGCAATATGCTGAGATGCATCTCCTCGCCACCTTCCTCGTAAGACTTTCAGTCATAACATGGCCACTTCTGTGACATGATTTTGATGTTGTGATGCAGATGACAGCTCTGCTTCAATCGCGTCCACTTCCATTTCTATGCCCTGTAACCCAACCATGAATTCCATCATCTGAGTATCCAAACCCTGGAGTGCGGAATCTAAATTCGAAATTACACTCTGAGTAACTCCGAGGGATGACATTTGAGTTCGGAGTTTGAGTTGGGAGATTGCTATATTTTGGAGAGAAGTGAGGTGGGAGTTGAGATTTTGAATCAGATGTCGGGCTTGGACGATGAATGTTTGGGGCTGTGTTGATGTCGGTAGGTGCGGTTCTAGGGAGGATAAATTTTGGCTGGCGATGAAGGCTGTGAGGCTTGTGTAGAGAGCTTGGAGTCTTTGTTGTTGGTGTTGTTGCCCGAAGTATTGGTGATGATGTTGTTGTCCGGGTAATGGGTATTCATCGGCTCCGTTCATGAATTCGTCCTGATGGAGAGGTGGGGTTGGAAGTTGTTGGGTGAATGGTTGGGTGAGCTCTTCGTTGTGGTTTGACATTGCGGAGTCATTTCGGTCGTGAGAGTTTTGTTCTTCTTCATATTTCAAAGTGTTGTTGTGGTTGGAGAAGTTGTTCTGGCTCTCAATGTGGGGTTGCGACGCCGTAGTCCCTCGACGCTTCAAAGTGGGTCTGTCGTCGGCGTAGAAGCCATTGAGAGTCACGTCTTCAGTTTTCCTCTTGCCAATTAACGACATGGTACTCCACGATATCGATCTGCTCTCTCCAATTGTGTGCAGTGGTTCATCAATGGGAAACAAAGAAGACCAACAAATTGTTGGATCTTGATATCCGCAATCACGCAATCTCGCCGAGGTGGCGGGGAAGGACAGGGTGAAAGGGCCGAGATCGCTGCAGGGAAAGTCACATTTTCTTGGGAGCGATTGCAACTAACATTCATCTCTCGTGCATGTACATGCATTTGTACAGTGCAACATTGTTCGCAGGTTACAGTATGCCGTTTCCCCCATCAAGTCCAATTCGCCTGCCGAACACATCTGCCTTGTTTGCGTGAGCAATCATCATCAGCACAGCTTCTCCGTATTTGTCCTCCTGTCCACTTTGAAATCACCAAAACTTGTATCCGAAGAGCCAGAGCCAGAACAATAAGACCTTGTGCTCCAGAACGACCTGCGCGAAGATGGTTATGACGGGCATAGAGATCGCGCAAAGGAGCACAGCTGTGATGCACAGGAGAATTGGGTAGTCGGCAAGTATTTCTATGAGTCTTGCAAGTAGGCCGTTGACGGTGACTGGCCCTTGGATGCCAACCTCCACCTTGCCAGGCTCGTCGGCCCTCGTCTCAACCTTCCGATTGCCAGTAGCAGCAAGCTTAAGTAGATGCTTGTGCTGCAGAGGATGGCCGGGCAGAGGTGAGATCTCAGGAGCAGCTTTGCATCGTGAGTACGGGGCAGGCTGGCGATCTGAGATCATGATCTCGGGAGCAGTCTTGCCACAGGAGTGCGGAGCTGGACGTCGATCCGAGATGGATAACTCATGAGATGGCAGAGTGCCCTTGTTGTCCGCGTCTTCATCGTTCTCAGAGAAGTCTTCTGTGTCCGACTCTTCGCCGGAAGGCAAGGTAGTGCTCGTCTTAATGTGCATCTTGTGCACCTTGGTCTTGCGCTCCCTGTGCTCTGTTTGTGGCTCATCTGCCGGCACTCGACCAGAGCGAGACTTCTGAGCAGGAAGTCGCTGTGTCTGGAGTGAAGGGTCGCTGGAAGGTTTGGCGTGCTTCTGGCGAGACATGGCAACTCCCTTGGATTGCGACTGAGGTTTTGTGGGGGTGGTGGTTTCGACGTTGCTGCGGCGGACCGAGTGGAGAGGTTGGCTTCGGTAATGCCAGTGCAGCAACTTTGGCGAGAAGAGTTGTGTCGTGGCAGCAGAACATTTAGAGAGCGCTGTTGCCTGGTGGTGACTGCTTGCGTCGCAAGCAAGTGCTGTTCTTGAGGCAAGTGCGCCCAACTTCCTTCTTTCCGCTGACCGGACCTCAGCAACGACCACATTTCGAGGAAGTTGATCTTCCAGACGATCTTCCTCTGCATACGCAAACGGGCTTCACGCGACAGTGTGGACATTTGGCTGCTCCAGAACAATGCTGAGCCCGATCGAGTGGGTGGTGGTCAATGTCGTGCTAAAATTCAACCAGACTGGTACGCAAGAGCCGCAGAGAGCTAGCAGTGAGGTGAAATTGCGATGCTCAGCTGTATAGGCTCACTTCGCCAGGTCCTCACTGCTCCACCACGAATCCGGGGCGACTTCGATCGTCAAAGACTCGTCTTCATTCAGCGAGCACTTCCAAAGCCTTTCATGTTGTCCAAAATGACAGTCTTCTATGAATGGCCAATTCTTCAGCTCCCGAGGAAGATCTTCGAGCTCAATCTGAATCGCTTCCATGACTTTCCTCATGACCGGTCCAGCAACTGAGGGTGATGATATAGCACCGCGATCGGCTGCCTCACACGCAGCGAATGTGGCAGCGACCCACAGTAGCGAGTGCATGTCGGCATTTCCTCTCTCGATCCACTGCCTTAGGATATCTGGGATGCTGGTGAGCAATTTGAGACCTCGCTCGAGCACGCATGCGCGCGTAGCTTGTTGTATTGGAGTCCAGAAACGACAGAGAATCCATAGATTGAGCTGAATAGTGAGCAAAAGCAGCTCTGTGCATGTTGCATCAGATCCATCACTTGACTCGTGTCGGGCAAGCCGCGGATGGTAGAAGCGTATGAGATATTCCAGCTCGTAAATGTGTCCAAATGGCGGATCTCGTGTTTCTTTGAGGTATGGCCAGGCCAAGAACAACTGGAACAGCTTTGTAAACAAATCACAGATCTGTGCTTTCCCAAACTCAGCATCACTGCAAGATGGACTAGCTACAGTGCAAGCGTTCGCCAATCGCTTCACCGTCGCACCATTATTGATCTGCCAGTCTGGGATCGAGGCCCGATAGGTCTTCGGGATGTAGAGATCGAATAGAGGTAATTGGTTCAAGTTGAGAGCTAGTCGAAGATCGAGCCACGCAATGATGAGCCATTGGTGAACAGATAGCCGCTCCAGTGCCTTGATAGCTCTCAGCACGTGAATGTGTATTCCAGCAGCATGGAACTCCGCGTCTTGCAAGTGGCTGAAGGCAAGAATAGCTACTGCAACTAGGGTGCCACTGTCGATCGCAGCCCCGTAGGTGTCGACTTGTTTTTGTATCTGCTTGATCAACTGGCCTTTCTGGTGCAAGTAGGGTTTTTGACGGGCTGCGTTGCCTCCAGCTATTTGGGCTTCCTTGCGGTATGCATACATGGCTGCAGCGCAAAGATGACTAGGAACGAGTCAGTTGGCTACTGTGTACTGGACTTGTGACGGCTTACACTTCATGAGACCTAGCTTGATGCCACTGCATCTCGATAAAGTGATGTCTGGCGACATCAAAACCTTTGGTGCCATCGGCCTTGTCCTCATAGAAAAACCATTGCCACACGTGCACGACATCTCGTACACTTTCGTAGGGAGATGCAGGCATGAGCATGGAGCTCACGTCGCTAGTCGCGTATTGTTGCCTGCAAGTCGCCGTCCGACTAGGCGTCCTGCTGGCCTTGATCTTCGCTGGGCCCAGACAAGACATCAGACCTAAACCTTGACCTTGCTTGACCACGGGCTGGTTTCCTCCATCCCGTATCGAAGCTTTATGATTCCTCATGACATGCCGTTTTCGCAGAGCTTTAGACTGCTTCGGCGCCTTGCCGTTCTGCTCATCGCAGACAACGAACATGAAGCCGGGCGGGTCTTCTGTGTCATCCTCGAAGTTTTCGTGTATGAAAGTGGCCATCGTATTCCTTTCGGAGAATGTCGTGGGCAAATGCGATCATTCTGCTGGGCAAGGCGAGTCTTTTGGTCTTGAAGAGCACTGATTTGGCTGTAGGTGTCTAGAAATGGAGTCCAGCTTCAGTTGGCTGTTGATCTTTACCAGAAGAGGGCATAGGTACACAATTGCGGTTAGTGTGCTGTATCCGGCGTCAGTCAATCCTGCGAGCTGCACTCCAGCTTACCTGTCACGGGGCGAGACTGGATATGAGACTGTGCCGATCCAAGGCGACAATAATCACAATTCGTATGCCTGGAAAAGATTATGGCCAGACAAGACCAAGCATTCCGAATTACTTTACAGTCTCATCCGTGCAAGCGAAACCAACACGGACGAATCTCATTGATAGTACCATGGCATGACCAAGCGATCTCAGAGAACATGGGCCATTGCATTTATTGAGTCGGAAATGCGACATCGACTATTGCTTCTCATGTCCCTCCAGACCTGACGTGTCAGCAATCCTGAAAACGTATTTCACAGCACTCGCCTTCCCTTGTTTCAGATTGCTCAGCGCAGTCTCCACACCCTGTAGGCCACCGGGCACGACCTCTTGAGGATGAGCTTTGAACCAGCCTTCCTCCAGCCCTTTTGCGAGGTAGCGGAAGTACACATGCCCAAAGTCTTTCAGATCATCTGGGAAGCCGTGAACACTTCCCACAGTTGTCAAAGACTGCCTGATCTTGCCCGGCAAATCGTATTTCTTGCCAGGCAGAACGAATGTGACTCGACCAGTTTCCTGGTCCAAGACATGACCAAGATTCTCTACACTTCCCTTTTCTGAGACAGCATCGAACGCGTATTCTATTTTGCCTCCGTGCTTGTCCGCTGCAGCCTTTAATGCTTTTACAACGGCTTCGTTGCCGTCCCGATAATCGACGATTGTATCACCTTTACTTTGATCGATGAAGCTCTCCACGTGCGGTATGCCTTTGCCGGCTACGCATATCAAAGGATGAATGTTGGCTCGGAGAGCTAGCTGCAGAGCATAGGAGCCCACGGCGGAAGCTGCTCCGTATATGATAAGAGGCGTGGGAGGACGAGAGTCGTTCGAGGCTTTATTGCTGGCGGCCGAGGGAGGAGTGAAGGGCGATGGCAGCTGAAGCCGGGCGAAGAGTCCGACGGCTGCAGTCAAGGCTGCGAGTGGGATCGCGGCACCAGCTGGGCGAGAAGGTGAGCATTGAATGTTTGGTATGTAGCATTCGGACGTACCTTGGAAAGAGATGTTGGCTGGAAGGTGTGCTGTTGTCGCAGACCAGGAAAGAGCATACTCCGCGTAACTGCCCCCAGGCTTCATCATCTCGTGGAAGGCAAACACTCTGTCGCCAGGTTTGAACTCGGATACATGCTCGCCGACTTCGTGGACGATTCCTGCAATGTCGTCGCCTTGGTTTACAGGTTCCGCGTCGGGCATGAACTGTGGTCGTTTCCTGATGTGCAATTGATTAATATGTTACCTACGCTGTTCTCTGCTGTATACCAACCAGTCTTTGGGATTTGAGCCACTGTAGATGACCTTTGTCACGACCTGATATGGCCCTGGCTTTGGTATGGGCACATCCCGTATTGTGACCTTTGGGCCTTTGGCTACAACGGCCTCTTTCATGGTTCCACTTGACGCGCTGCGCGTCTGGGCGGTAATCTGGGAGAGTCTTCGGGAGGCAGACATGCGGAAGGCACTGAGCATGATCGAAAGAAGTTTAGATTGTGCCGTCCATCCGATCTATACTGCGACTTCGACTCGGCGAAGCTGACATTGGGGGTGTACCTCTCGTGGATGCATCCCGCGTCCGCATTGCATCATCAGGATGTGGCCGAGGTCTGCGGGGATTCATGGCATCAATCGTTGTGTTGTGCTTCATCACAGTTTCATCTTTGTGCTTCGCTGGCTGTCGCCCTCGCAACTCGATGCATCTGAGTGCGTGGCATCGCACAACAACATTGCCACCGCTAGCTAGAACGATGAGAGCATAAGCAGCAAGGGCCAGAAAAGCTGTTGGTCGGCCGCACTGAGGAAGAGTATGAGCCGCGCTCGAGTGATGCCGGCACGAGGAGCAACAAGCTGAGGTTCCGTGATCGTACTGGCGTTGCCTCCTTCGACTCTGTCAAGGAGTCAAGCGACGGACTCTTGTTCCTTTTAGTCCTGTCCTGTTCTGCTGGGTGAACATTAATGCGTGTCTTATTATGCAAGCTTGGCAGCGGGCCGCGCGAAGCGAAAGATGTTGCTGCGGCAACCACGAGTTTGAAGCAGGAGCTGCCGAAGCTGGAACACGGACATTCAATCCCGCATATCTCGATTGTCCGACCTCCGTACTGCCATCGCTCCGATATCCACCAACGCCGGACACGAGAGACGAGCCTTCTGGATGTGCGTGAAGCCCTACACGCGCTTGTGAACTACAGCAACCAATGGCCGCCGCGCTCCCAGTTGACGGCGCGTCAAGCATCAGTGTCGCTGTGCGAGTGCGGCCTTTCACTATCCAGGAAGCTGCACAATTGACGAGAAACGATGATGGCCCTCTATTCCTCGGCGATGGCTCAATGGCTGCTGTGCCAAAGCCACGAGTTGGCGGAAAGGGCATTCGTCCTGTGATCAAGGTCATGGACGAGAAGTGCTTGTAAGTTTCTCCAAACATCTGAATGCTCCAACTGCTGATCGAGAGCGCAGAGTATTCGACCCACCCGAGGAGCACTCGGTGCAACGATTCGGCCGTGCGATGCTCCCCCAGGGGAAGCGTTCCAAGGATCAGACATTCGCCTTCGACCGAGTCTTCGACGAGCACACCACACAATGCGACGTCTACGCAGCGACAACTCAGCCACTCCTGGATCAGGTGCTCGACGGTTACAACGCGACAGTGTTCGCGTATGGTGCAACTGGCTGTGGAAAGACTCATACCATTACTGGAACAGTCCAGTCACCTGGTATCATATTCATGACAATGCAGGAACTATTCGAGCGTGTACAGGAGCTGAGGGAAACCAAGGAGGTGGACGTAACCCTTTCATACCTCGAGATCTACAACGAGGCCATTCGAGATCTTCTCGCGCCCCCAGGTTCGAGCGGCAAGCAAGGACTGATGCTCCGGGAGGACTCGCATCAGGCAGTATCCGTGGCCGGCCTCACCTCCAACAAGCCACAATCTGTCCAGGAAGTCATGGACATGGTCATACAGGGCAATGGGCAACGCACACAATCGCCAACAGAAGCGAATGCTACATCCTCTCGATCTCACGCGGTGCTGCAGGTCAATGTCGCATTGAAAGATCGTAACGCTGCCGTCAACGAACCCGTGACATTTGCAACACTCTCGATTATCGACCTGGCGGGCTCAGAGCGGGCTTCAGTCACAAAGAACAAGGGCGAACGTCTGCTCGAAGGCGCGAACATCAACAAATCTCTACTTGCGCTTGGATCTTGTATCAACGCGTTATGCGATCCGCGAAAGAAGAACCACGTGCCTTACCGGAACTCGAAGTTGACACGATTGCTGAAGTTCAGTCTGGGCGGAAACTGCCGCACAGTCATGATCGTGTGTGTGTCGCCGAGCAGTGCGCACTTCGACGAAACACAAAATACTCTACGATACGCCAACAGAGCCAAGAACATCCAGACGAAGAGCGTGCGGAATGTGTACAATGTCGACCGGCACGTCAAGGACTACCTCAAGAAGATTGATGAACAAATGCTTCTTATCAAGGAGCTCCAGGCACAGCTTCAGGACTACGAAAAGCAAGCTTTTGCGAAATTCAAGAAAGCGGAGTCGAAGTTCGATGGGGTTCTCAAAGACAGCATTGAACGTGTACGACTCGCATACGACCACTCCGCTTCGGAGCGAAAGGAGAGAATCAACACGACATTACGTTTACGGCAAACCGAGCGGCGCATTGGCGCTATCAGTGGCTGGGTTGGTGCATTTGACCAGGTCTGCGAAACTCGAGAAGAAGAGGAGCCAGCTGCTGCGATGGTAGCCATGAGGAAGACCGCTACTGGTATATTGGCGGAATTGGAGCACAGCCGACAACATCATCACCAAAAGTTGGGCAAGATAAACTGGACCCGCTCGATCGATATAGCACTTCAGGATGGGCTTCGTCAATTGGAAAGCAACGAGAGTTTTACTGCTGATTGTGCAGAGGCATCGAGTTTGTTGAAGGAAGTGGAGCTTCTGAAGAACCGAGCTGACATCGAGATGAACGCCATTGTCTTGGACGCCGAGAAGGCGGGCGAGTCGGGTCTCATGAATGTGATGCTCACAACTCATTTTGAGACCATCGCCATTGTCAATCAGCTCGCACAGATGACAGAAGAGGAGGCAGTGCAAGCAGGCCGCGACATCTTGGGCAAGCTTTTGCAAGCATGCACCGACGCCGTCGGCCAAGTCATCAAGCCAGACGGCGGGCTACAAATTACGGCAGCTGTAGCGCCCAGCCGCTCTGGGACACCGCGTAAGCAGAAGTCGTTGATCGGCCCGTCGCCCATGAAGAGCAAGATCAGGCACTCGGTATCGAGTCGCGCCTCGCTCTCATCGCAACCGCAGCCAGTTTTGCCTGCCCCTGCTGCATCGGCGATACCCGCGCATATCACTGCTGAAATGTCCACCATTTCCCCACACGACGGCTCAAGCCCTGCCCGAGGCACAACGGCGAGCCCGAGGAGACATGTCAAAAAGCTCGGAGGTTTGGCACGTAAAGGAGTTGCTTTCGGATCGGGAACTCCCAGAAAGAGGTCGCCTCAAAAGAAGCGTGGCGTGAGATGGAGAGATGAAGGTGCCGAGGATGGATCCACACCTGGCGCACTGGTCGAGTTTCAACCTACCCCGAAGATGCCCGCTCCTACGCCTCATTCTTTCAACAACGATGACAGCTTGACTATTGAGCCACCCAGGTTCACCTCCGAGATCGATGCCAACGATGCAGATCCCGAATCGAGCCCCCTTCCACTTCCTCCAACACAAAGCAGCGAAATTCGAAAGACTCCAGCGGGCACTGGTCGATTCGCGATTGGGGCTTTGACGAAGGGGGGCAAATTGGGGTCTGATTCGCCGACGCTGATGCCGCCCCCAAAATTCTCGACGAGTATGGGCTCCTTTTCCAGCGACGATGAGTCTAGTCCGTTACGCGAACTTGGCAATCGTGCTCCCCACAGCAGCTCTTTGCGCACTGTTAACAATACTTCAGACCAAAGCGATGCATCTTTCTCTACCGGTGGATCCGATGCCGAGCAGTCTTTCACGGATCGCGAAGCGTCGCAACAGATTCGCGCAGCAATGGCGAAAAAGAGGCGATCCTCCATGGGGACTCGCAACTCCATCGGAGGTGCCGCCTCCCGTCAACGGGCGAGCGACCGCGCACAACGCCGTCGCAGCCCGACTGCTGCTCAATTTGCTGTTGGCTCGCCCCCATCCGATTCTTCTTTCTCGGCATCGCATGCTCGTCGCATAGGTGCCTCGCGGGAATCAACTGGCCACAGCAACGTGTTATCGCCACGTACTGGGTCCGTCGTGAAAAATAATGGTCCACCAGCTGTAAGAGCTGCGCAGCCACTTCGCGTGCGTCAGAGTATGATTGATATCAACCATACGCCACGCGAGACTCCAACAGGTCCTAATGGCCGGCCTCACTCGCGCGTAAGCAGCGTGGTACCCGGGAGTGCTGGAGGCTCCAAGCCGGTCTGGCGCTGATTGAGATTTCTGAGATTGTGTGTGCACAGGATCTGGCTGTCTTGTGAATAAGGCGTTGGAGATTTGGTGTCTGCATAGCAAAACGGACTAGTACGCCTCAAGGCGGAACGTCAATAATGAATTGGGCGGAGTGATTTTTTGGAGTTTTGGGATGACGGCCGCTGCGTCCACTTTGCGACCTTGAGCGGTGAGAAGCGTTCAAGCGCCACATTGTTTTGCCGTTGAAGTGCTGATTGGAGAAACCACGGCGCCTTTTCTCGTAGTCTGTACTATATCGTGAAGAACGGTACTTCGCAGTACGTTTGCATTGTTTTGTTGCCAGACTACTGTGAGCAAGGTCGATGGCTGCTCGTAGGATTCATCCCGACGTGATCAAAAGTCGTGCATCCGAAGGTGCATGTGCCGGTGGATCAGCACCCATTTGGGTCACTAGGCTCGATTTCCCTTCTTCACCGCCATCGCAGCTGCTTTCTGTCTTTTCTCCAGGATTGAATGATCCAGGAAGACGGAAGGTGTACTTGAAGAGTCGAATTCTTTGATCTTCTCTTCACGTTTTCTTTGATTCTTGCTTTTGCTTGGAGGCAGCTCGAATAATATGTCGCCTGCCTGGATAACTTTGTGAGAGTGAGCCTGCTGTTTCGGACGCTGGAGCGTTAATTTTCGTGATGCTTGTCCTGGCTGAGACATTGTTGTGAGAACGGGAAGGAGATGAGGTTGGAATTGTACACGGGATGTGAATGTAATGTAGAAGTGGGAATGACGTCGGATGGAGATGCGGATCCGAAGGAGAGGAATGAACGGTAAGTTCTGAAACGCAACTTCAGCGAGCTTTTCTCCTTGTCCACTTATTTCAGTATGTATTGTATCTCCTTCATTTGGGCAAGGTTAGGGCTTACTTGTTCACTTGCATAAATTTGTTGCCTCCGAGGAGAGTAAGGACACCACCTTGTTGCCAAGCCGGGTGCTCTGTTTGTCCGGATCGTAACCCACTGCTCTTGGAGGTCTAGCCTGACGCCCTTTGTCGAAGATTTTGCATTGACTGCGAGCGCCACAATTGGGATTGTGGATTAAAATCGTAAAGATGTCTACGCGAGATACGTGCTCTTGCGATCGTTGCCTCACTAATCTTTCACCTGGCGTGACCCCGTTTCCATCGCTCTTTCCGTGCCGCTGATGACTACACAAGACTAGGAACAAGATGGCGACTCAGACGATCACCGAGCTGGAGCTCCAGACCTGCTCCGTCACGGCCCCAAAGACCACTCAAGTGGGCACTGCTCCAGGACGGCCACTTTCGGACGCGACACCGCCGTCATCAAGTACTCCTTCCTCCGCCAGTATCGTTGAGGAGGCCTATCCACATCTGGCAAAATCTCGAGCTTGGATTGTCATCACACAACTCTGCGGCATCAACTTCGTCTCCAGCTTCAGCAATGGCCTGGTGTCGATTGGTCTGCCAACCATGGCCACGGCGATCAACATTCCTAACAATTTACTTCTTTGGCCCAGCTCCGCATTTTACCTCACGATGGGCTCTTGTCTCCTGATTGCAGGGAGCGTGGCAGATGTCATTGGCCCACGAAGAGTCAACATACCAGGCGCTCTTCTCACAGCCGTAATGATTCTTGCCTCAGGTTTCGCGAAAGACGCAATTACCCTGATCATGCTGCGGGCGATCCAGGGCATCGCAAACGCAATGGTTGTCCCGACTGCCATTTCGATTGTCTCCAATAATGTCGAAGAAGGCACTGCCAGGAACATTGGCTTCGCGTCTATTTTTCTCTCTATGCCTTTGGGATTCGCGGTCGGTATGATAGTCGGCGGCCTTTTCGTAAGCACCGTCGGTTGGGAAGTCGGATTCTATACCGGCGGCGGCACTGGACTCTTGCTGGTCGTGGTCGCCATGTGGGCACTGCCGAAGGATGCCAAATTAGGGCCGCTTACGACAACATTGAAGAGACTTGCTGTGGAGATCGATTGGGTAGGCGCCGCAATAGCAAGTGCTTCTATTGCTTTGCTGTCGTACGTCCTCGCGATGCTGTCAGCCGACACAGCGCACATCAAAGAGCCCAGCAACATTGCTCTACTTGTTGTCAGTCTGTTACTACTGCCTGCATTTGCCATGTGGATGGAGTTTCAGGTAAAGCGAGGCCGACCAGCACTCATCCCCAACCAGCTTGTAAGTCACATCGCCGCAACGGCTTCCTTGTTTGCAGCCCCACGGCAAGACGACTTAATGTCGGCAGTCGTCCACTTCACCAGTAAATCTCCGCGATCAATAGAGACACATGCTGACTTTGCATCACCGTTAAGTGGAAAAATATTCCCTTTACCAGCGTCTGTCTGATGATTCTACTCTGCAACGCAGTTGTAAATTGTATGGAGCTCTACAGCAGCTTGTTCTTCCAAGAAGTTCAGTTGCTTTCCGCCATCGAGACCGCAATTCGAATTCTCCCGCAGGTTCTCGTCGGAGCAATATTGAGCTTACTGGCTGGCGTTCTCGTGAATCGAGTGCATGTCATGGCTTCGATCATGATCTCATCCGTTTTAGCCGCTGGGTCACCACTTCTCATGGCAGTCATCGATCCATCGCGGAGCTACTGGATCATGGCATTTTGGGCTCAATTACTTGCACCCTTCGGTGTGGACGTGCTCTTCACGGTTGGCACTTTGGTCGTCAGTGAGGCATTTCCACGCAAAACGCAGGCCCTTGCAGGTGCCGTTTTCAACACATTTGCGCAAGTGGGGACTTCGATTGGTCTGTGCATCACTTCTGTTATCTCATTGAGCGTTACGGAGCAATCGTCCGTCCCCAATAAAGAGAGCCCTCAAGCTTTAATGCAAGGTTACAGGGCTGCTTTTTGGGCTCTGTTTGCCTGGATGATCGCAGCTTGTGTCATCGGAATGTTTGGGCTGAGGACTGTAGGGAAAGTCGGCATCAAGAGGGAATAACGCTGTAGATTGTTCATCACACTTCTAGGTGGTGCCTATGGAGCGCCTGCGGTCTGCCAGCATCACTAATTGAGTCTTTCCATACAGGATTATTAATCGAAACTGATGCATGCCATCTTTGCACGGCCTGCTGAAGAACAATACCAGAGACCATCGGAAACCATGGATCGCACGTCCACTCTGCGAGCCGTTCCTGAGATGAGCGGCACGCCTCGACTTGCATTTTTGCAATTTGGATCCTGGACCGCACATCTCAGGTTGTTTTCATGCTTGTATTCAATAGTGCAAAAGCATCGTCGATATTCTGGAAGCTGTAGCAAGAAGCGTCCGAGAGCTCTGCAATTAGGGCTGTAGCTGGGAATCCGTCGTGCATCATGCCATTGCAGCTCCCGTTCTCTACTGCTCGCACTCCTGGCCTCATGTGGAAAAGCCGAGTGGAGAAGTTTTTCAGCATCTGCCCACGACCTGACAGTTGGCACTTGGCAGGCAGGCCAGCTCTGAAGTCTGACCAAAGTAGCGGGTCACACATGAGAAGCCCGCTGGTCTGAGGCCAGCAGCCCTTCCCGATGCTCGCGCGCCTGCCGCGGCGGCTCATACTGTCTAGCTCAATACCTGCGGAAGGCTTCCGTCTCCGGATTGGTGCGGCCATACTTTGCTGGCCGCCACATCTTGTTGCGGAGACTGCGCTGGGTGGTTTGTTGCGATGACGGGACGATTATCGAAAGACTGCTTTTTGGCGGGCGTTGCTCAACTTGTTGGTTGTGTGCCTTCTGTAGGAATCTCGCTTGATACGCAGGGAGGCGCAGATGTTGCTTTGTTGTTTTCGGGCTTGAACGATCTGGGAGTGAGAGCAAAAATGGGATTTCCTGCCCAAACCGGAACTCGTATTCTCGTGACCTCTGCTTTGTCTTGCGTTCGTGCTGCGTAGGGAGTCTTGTCACCGCCTTGCGACTCCATCATTCCTCTTGCTTTGAGGAAGTTCGACATGGCCATCGTGCTTCTGTAGCCGTAGGTAAGAATTTATACATTCTGCGAGATGGTATCTCGTATCCATGTCGTATCATTCCCAGGTAGGGCGGCGTTGGCGGCAACCGGATAAAAAGGATAGAGAACGATTTCATGGGATGTCTAAGCATTTCCGTAGTTGTCTCGATTTGGGTTCGTTCATAACATTTTCTGGTTGGGTATATCCTTGTTCTGCTGTCTGCTTCTGAATCGTGCACACGGCATAGACCGTTTCTGCATGATGCGGTGCCGAAGGAACGCTATTCAAATGCCGGTACTCGTGGTCGTGACTTCGCAAACAACTGCTCGGTGAGATGGGACCGTCTTGACAGGAAACGCTCTGGGCATATCGTTGGAACGAGTTCTCGGTCGTAGTCTAGATCGGCGAGGGTCTCGCGACCTATGTATGGCTAAGCATTTTGCACTAATGAGGTTCGCAGCGGCACTGGCTCGAGCTCCATCTTAAGAGTGGGACATCAGGATGCTCCTGATGTTGTAGAACGCAGCGATCGGCGAGGTGAACACTGCAGATACGAAAAGACTGTAAATGCCTGGAAATTAGCTGGACAAAAGTTCAGCTCAGGCCCAGCCGCTTCGAACCGAGAGCTGATGAGTGACTAACAAAGTTTTGGGGGCGGAAGAAAAGCTTCAATCTTGTTGCGGTTGACAGCGAGGAGGTTGTATTCATCATACCGGGTTGCGTTGCTCGTGACATCGTGAGGACGGGAAATCAGAAACTAGTGCGGCAGCGGTGCCTCTCGATTCGAACACGGCAAGAATCTTTCCGATTGCTCCGGCTCATCGTGACAGTACCATTCATTCAGTAGTTCCTGCGCTGAGGTCCATCTCTGAGACTCATCAGATCGTCTTGGCATGTGCGCTCCGACCCTCGTCGCTCGTCGGAGAACGCTCCCAAAGCCTGTATCAAAAAGACCAGCCTTCCCAAAGTTTGAGCGAGCGCCGATGATCACGTTATGAACCCTGCTGTGACCGTCTGCCCGATAGGTGCCACGAGCACGTTTCGCGATGCGGCAAAGTTGTCACAATTTTGGGAAAATTTGGTGAGCGCGCACACAGCCGCCCGTGGTAGCCTCGCAGTAGAGATCAGAGATTGGTGGCTCGCGCAGGAGAATATGTTCCCGGCAGTAAGGTTGACGTTTCAACAGGTCTGACAAGACTATTGCTGTTCCAGTGAAGTGGTTTGCAGGGATGATCAAGGTTTGCTGCACACCCTGGGCGTGTGTCACCTTTTGATGACATTCGCTATTGCGCAAAGCCAGATTCTCTGCTGGTAGTGCAGGATAGTCGCCCGGTCAGACTTACCAATAATGTAGATACGCTTCCGGTATCCTCGGACCAGCTCAAGCAATGCCTACATGCTCTCCCGTCTGATCATCAGTCTCGACCCTTCTCGTGAACGGCAGGGAGCCGCACAGGCAAACACAGGCGCAACGCACCAATGCATCTCGACAGCATGCCATCTCAGCCATCATCACACCAGGCAGATCTGGCATAACGACGTCGGGGCCCGTTAGTGCCGCCCGGCACGATGGTACGAGATGCTGCCTCCACTGCGGGAAAAGTGCCGGCCGGAAAGCGTAGCGTGATCGTATTGAATCCTATGCGAAGACCGTCATTGACAACGCGCTCAAAGTTTGATCCGGAACTAGAGGACATAGAGGAGCCCCCAGAGAGCGATGACCCAGCAGTCATACGAAGGATCGTACGAAGACAGGCTGCTCTGGCATCCGCAGGCCGGCGCAAGGCCACCTTAGCAGCGATACACCAGAAGCGCTCCACGAGAAGACTGCAGCATCCAGGACACGCTCTCTCATCGATACCATACAGCACGGCGTACGATGGGTCGACACACCCATCAGAGGTCCTTCCAAGCCCAGGTGCGCTTGCAATCGCCAATGAACGTTTTGACCCCTTCGCGAACCAGGCTGTCGACTTCGATGCCATCAAAGACTCCGGTATGCTCCACTCGCTGTTCAACGTCTTCATGGCCCATGTTGCACCATTGCTGGATCTAAGATTGCCAACCCAAGAGGATCGTAGACTTGGACGTCGCTACTCGTGGCAGAAAGAACTTCCACAGATGGCGCTTGCCAGCCCGCCGTGCTTTTGGGCGGTGATGCTCGCTGCATCAGGTCAGATGGATTCTGTGGCAAATAACAGCCCGGCCAAGTCCATGTTGACCTTGAAGTTCCGACACATGACAATTCGGAGCATAAACAAACGACTCGATGCTTCCTCCACGGGGTTTAGAAACGATTTCGGGCTGCTCATCGGGATTGCGATACTCGGCAGCTGGGAACATTGGTGGGGTTCACCAGAAGCATGTCGAGCTCATTGTGATGGCCTCCGCATGTTACGACAACACTTCAAAGATTCAGAGCAGCCCCACGACCTGTTCGCGCAAGTGATGACGTTCGCTAATACCTTTGGCTCTAAAGATTACACAGAGCCCCAGGAGCCCAAGTACGCACAACCGCTCCCGCAGATCGTTGAATCGCGAGTGGACATGAACAGTGGCTTCGAGTGGACTGCAAGTAGAGTGTATCTGGACCAGCGGTTGGTGCGCAGTATATGCAGCTGTTTGGAGATTGAGAAGATGCACTCAGGCACTGAGCGGGCCCAGATAATTCGCGAGCTCGCGTCGGTTATACTGAGCTTCAATACCAAGTGAGAGCCGCCTGATATGTCGTGAGTTCCTGGGAAAACCGCTGACGAGAACGCAGGCCACGGCTCAAAACCGTCTTCACCGAGAACGACTGGTCTCGTGACCAAGACGGCGATCGTCTCAACCTCGAAATGCACATTATCCTGCAAGCCGCTGGGGTGAGCCTGCTCAATTTTCTGGCTGGCAGCGCGAAAGAAGCAGGAACCGAGGACGTCGACGTGATCGGAATGTGCGAAGAAGTGTCCGACCTGGGGCGAAGCGTGGTCTGCTTGCCATTGTATGACCAAGTCTTGCTCTGGGCGCTCGTCACAGTTCTCGCGCTGAGCCATCAAGCCCCTGCACAAGGCATAGAGATCATCCGCACGGCAGCACACCGTTTGCAGATGCAACACTTCGTGCCGAATGATCTCGAGACGTACATGGGAGCCTTCGTGTTTCTCCGGAGCGCTCGCGATGATTACTCTCGCTTCTGCACAGCTATCCAGACATCGCCCGTTCCGATCACTGTTCCAGGGTCATAGGTCTGTATTGACTGGATCAGTCTCAAGCCCAGCCAGAACGAGGAGTCCAGGAAGTGACAATGGCACGAACGCCGGGACGCGTCGAAGTATGTGGACCCATGGCAGAGGAACTCTGTCCCGCCACGGTCAGCTATGTCGAAGTCGACCTGCAGTCTGCGCCGTCCAGTGATGCCGGAACCAGGTGCGCGTCCGCGTTTGACTTCTGCGTTGCGCAGTCCAGAATGTCTCTCCTGGCAAGGACAACATGGGTCAGGACGACCACTCAGCGGGGAGAAAGCTTGGCACCCGCACGGCCCCTGCTAGCGGCTGACTTGCCTTGTCTTCGTCGGGTGAACATCATCGGATGAACCGCTATGGAAAAGGCAACGCGTATCATGCGCCCGAGAGTGGCAGCAGCAAGGCGTCCGCAGAGGTCTCATCGCATTGAAGCGAGACACGCCGGCCCGCGACTCAGTAAACAATAGCGCTCCGAGCTATTCCCATGAGTAATGCTTCTCTTCTTCCTCATCGGATGGAAAGCGACAATAGACCCAGCAGAAGTGGCCCAGCAGAGTGGATCGCCAGGTCAGGGGAGCACATTCTCCTGCCTCAGGGCTTCGAAAGCGTCCACGAAGCAATCAAAAGAATCCTTGATTCCAGTCCATCCAAACTTCCTAGCCTTGTTCACGCTCACGTTGACGGACCATGAACGTTGGAACATGCTGTCGAGCTCACTCCACGAAGCAGACGAAAAGCTTTCTCTGGCCTCCAGGATGCCCGTTTCCTCGCAAACCCTGTCCCAAATAGCCTTCTTGTCGCTTGCCCACTCAACCAGGCTGAACTCTTGCTGCAGCATGCCCCTCACTGGCTCGGGCTTCTGAAATATCTGGTCTGGAGTCGAGTACGCGCCGAACTGATCTGCCAAAAGCGGCCACACGAAGCGCCAGACAAGGTGGTCACCATTGCTGAAGTTGAATGCTTGTTGTGCACAATCATCATTGATCGCAGCCCAGACACAGAATTCCGCGAGCAGCTTTGCGTCGCTGAAAGCTGCAATACCATTCCAACAGCGTTCATTCGTAGGCATGCGAGCTTCTTCAACTACATGTTCCGTCATCATAAAGTACATGGCCAGAGTCAATGCAATATTGAACTCTCCCGGCACGACTGCGGCACTGACGATGGGCTCCGGACGAATGACATTCCAGGTCCAAGTCTGGTTCATCTGCAGCATTGTCAAGAAGTCTTCTTGGGCATGGTAAAAATTGTCTGCCGGGTCTCCTCGCCTGACATCATCCTCTCGACACGGGGTTGGCACAGGGGATATATGCGACCCGTAATATTTGCTGCTGCTAAGAAGTGTCACATTTTCCAATGCGGATGCGGTGGCTGTCAATGCAAGTAGGAAGTTCTCAAACAGCTCTGCATTTGCCTTGTTCAGCTCCTCGAAACTCTCCTTATGCACGTAGGAGCAGAAGAAGGCATGCGTGATACTCGCACAAGGTCCTGTCATGTGCTCAATGAGCGTGCCGGGACGCCGCGAGAAGTCAAGATCGATGAAATGTATACGATTATCGTTCGTTTTGCCATGGGTCTTTGATCTGGTGTTGACCACAATCCGAGTCCATTCATCTTTAGAGGTGCTGTCCAAAAGGTGTTTGAGTAACGCGACGCCTGCGATGCCGTCTGCATCGGTGATGAGGGCTGTCCTCGGCATGTGGTGAAAAGGTTCGTAACCTCGAGAGTGAACCTTGCAGGCCAAGCGGCACTGAAACAGGGAGATATTTTACAGATCTCAGGAATTGGAAACGCTGGATGAACACGAGGGACTAGGTGCCAAAATGTGGCTGAATAATGTAAAGTTCGAGGTACCTCCGTACTGGAGACTGTGTAGTTAACGTGTTTGATAAGCATGTGAATCAGATAGGCATGTGCATCAACTTCTATCTCGTATCCACTACTATTACTAAACGCGTCCATTATTCCACCATTTTACGCGATAGCACCTCTAAACGAAGAGTGTATTTAGAATGCTGTTCGTAATTACCTATTAGGTCGATTTCTAAGCGTGCGACGCGCTGCAGCCGCCTACGGAGTTAAATATTCTACCGTTAACCGCAGACTCTATAGTACGGCTCTAAAGACTAGTACACCGCTAACGAATAGAGCCTTAACTCCGGTTAAAGAGGAGGTAGTTTATTAGAAGATTCTAGACCTAGATTTATGTAGTTACTCGCCAATATAGGCTATAATTAGAAGCTAGGCGTCCTTAATAACTAAGGTACGGAATAGACAAGAGGTTAGCTAAAGATAGGCTTATAACTTTGTTAATCGTTATCTAGGCTTAGAAACAAGGCTATTACGGAGGTTATTA